CCCCCCCCCCCCCCCCCCCCCCAATCCATCCCCCGCGTAACTCAGTGCTCTGCCGTTTCTGCAAGTCCAAGACGTTCGGAGTTTGAGGTGTTCAGAGGCTGCCTCGCTGCTTCTACACCACCCCGATCTCTACAGGATCCATCTCCAGCCATAGGAATTGCACTCAAAGTCTTGAAACACAGTTCCTGTGAAAAGTAGAATACCCCCATCTGAGCCAAGCAAGAACAAGGCTAGATAAGGCGGATTCAGACCAGCTGAGTGTATGGTCGTGATTAGGTAATGGACTAACCTAGTTAATACCTAACAGGCCAGTTTGCCTAAAAAAAAAAAACAGACTTTAAATTCACAGATAATGTTTTCAGATATTGAGTTGTAGGACATCAATGACTGTAGATAGCAAAGATGAAACACTTATCAGGGACTCCAAGTCCCACTGCTGAAATTTCTGCCAAAACACAGATAAACGTATCAGCTTGTGTGCATCGTCTCACTTTCACATGTTATTCAGGAAGGGGAATATTTATAAGCAGCTCTGGTCTGAATATGTCTGTACGAGGTTCTTGTCGACATGGATGATGCGGCGTTTAGCCAATGATGGGGCGAAATGTCACAAGTGGGACAGCAGAAGACTGCTTGGCGCTCATTGGTAATTAAGCAGAATCCGATCCTTCATGTTTTCTTTCGGTTTGACAGTGTAAGAACAGTATTAGTCTGATTCTGCATGAAAGCAAAAATGCCAGTGTTTCTGCTGTCAGTCTTGGGCGAGCCCTCAGCAGCGTCGAAGTGATTTAAGGCTTCACCTCTGGGATGAAAGAACGACCGCTCTAGACTATCGTCAGGATCTATGCAGAGCTGCATGGCGCTACATGCTAAGCTAGTGTCGAAAAAACCTGCCCGGACTTCTGAAGCCGGCGGCGTGAGGCTGAGTTCCCGTTCCTCGTGCCTGTCGACGCGCCTGAACTCGCTGGGCTCACTTCTTCCGCTTTAGCTGGTTACTGAGGCAATCGGGAGCACCGCGATCCTCGTCACGATTCGATTAGAGTGTCCTGATGCGATGAGATGAGCTCTTTGCCAGGCGTTCACCCTCGATTGTCCTCAAGGCCAGACGTGATTAGATTCAGCCCTGCGTTTAAAGGAACTTTTCAACAAGAGATTCAACAAGATCATTTTTTATGAGACAATGTCCCTCTAACCTTGGAACACATTCGTATTATTTTGTTGCCTAGCAGATATTCAGTTTTAACATTTTATAAACCTTTTACATTATGTAAGTACACATAAATCATTTAAATACTGAATGAGGTTAAATAAAGCACTTTGCTCCATAACGGTATAGCAACTGAACCTTTCTTGGAAAGGAAACATAATCCTTCTAAGATTTCCTTAAGCTGATGTTAGCCAACCATTATTGCTCGCTAATGATAACAAGGTAATTTAGCCATGGATAAGGACAGCTGCTGAGTTTTCCTGTCATTTTTATGCTTTATTTCATGTAATTAGCTGACACTTTTAACCAAGAAGACATACAATTTATAAAGCAGGGTCATTCAGTCCTTGGAACAATTGAAGGTTAAGGGTCTTGCTGTCAGCTTGGGGATTTGAACCTACAACCTTCTGGTGGTAGGCACAGCATTCCTAATCCACTAAGGCAACCACAGTGACTTGGCCTCAGCGAGCTGTTGCATTCCACAGAGGAGGAGGACAGCACTTCGCATAACGCTAACCTTACGTCAACCTTTTTGTCCCCAGGCAAAGAGAGGAGGTCTCGAGACCGGGACAGGGACCGGGAGCGGGGACGTACTTCCAAGAAGGTCCACAGGAGGGCATCTTCTTCGGGCCGCCTTCCTCCCCCAGAATCCCGAGACAAACTGTCCCTGGCCGCCAACAGGATCATCGACGTGGATGGGGTGCGCCTGGAAGAAGCCCCCCTGGGGAAGGTGGGGTCCCATCTGAGCCGCAGCCTGGAGGGCTGTGTGTCGGAGCTACAGGGGTGCCAGGGCAGGACGAGGACCGGCGTGTGCCAGCCGTCCGGCCTGCCCGCCATGATCAGTGCCCAGGCCAGCGACAGCAAAGCTGGCAAGAACAAATACCGGGCCACCTTCGTGTGAGGCCGGCTTCCGGAACACCCGCTGCCGTCTGCCCGTGCTCACCGAGGGCCCGCCTCATGAGCAGAAACACAGTACTGTGGGTCTGCAGAGCGCCCATCACACATGGTACCAAGAAACCACCAAATGATGTATGCAATGCAGCTGGCACCACCGCGAGTTCAGGAGGCCTCTGCAAACAGACCTCGGTTACCTCCCGCGCTCCCTCAACTACCATCCAGAGGTGGAAAGTCCAGAAAGCACAAATCCAGACCAAGGTTTTGTTTCAACCAACCAGTTGAGTATAAAGAGTCACAGTCACAGAGAACTCAACTGTTTGGTTGAGCCAAAACCTTGGTCTGGATTTGTACTTTCTGGCCCTGAACTTTCCATCTCTGCTACCATCCAACATCAGAGGTATCAGTTACACCTTAACGGTCCTGATTTTCCAGGCTTCCACCTGCAATTAAAGGTTTGAAAGGCACAACCAGTACATTGCTTTAGTCCCTCTTTGCTTTTGCATACAGGAGCTGAGGTCGACCGCTGAGATATAACATGAATTTGTTATTAACGTGCTGCCACGCTGTGACGGCTGACGGATTTCAGCAGCGCGGCGTGGTACTGACGCAGCCCGAATGTTAGCATGGTGGGGGGTTCGCTGCCCCCAGAGCTGACTTAGTCTGTGCCCGTACTAAACACTGCTCTTTCCTTGACGAGGGGGGTCTGTAATGCCGTAATCTCCATTATTAATTCATCCAGCTGAACAAATGTGTTACATCACCATGTTAGTGCAGCACATCATGGAATTATGGGCCTTGGCAGTGCGTGCTAACTCCCTCCTAGCCTTCGGACTTTAAAAGCACCCACAGCGGCCCATTAATCGTATTGTTAATTTTACGGAGCTTAGTATTAATTTAATAAATTGATGAATTGAAACACCAAAGGAGTATCTCTCTTTGATTAAGCACCAAAGCTCATTTTTACAGGAGTGTGATCTCGGTCGAATTTCTGTCCTTAAATATTGCAAATCATTACTTTCCATATTGTTAGATATACACAATTTAAACAGAAGCACCCATGGTATTATAGCAAAGCTTGCTGCAGTTCGATTTAAACATTTCGTATTCTGTCATTGCTAACTGTTTGATGCACCGGGAATAACCAGCGTTGAATTCTGAGCACTTTGCATTGATTTCAAAGCAAAAAATGTTCCTCTGAATAACAAAGTCTACTCTGACCTCAGAGCTGATAATGAGGCTCCTTTGAACGTTTTTTGCCAAACAGGTCGACGCCTGACACAGGTGGTCGCTTGTAAGCCACTCATGCATATTCCGCGATGCTTTATGAAAGACCAGGTCAGGTACGTTCTACAGTCAGTCCAACATCAGTTCCACCCATAGGGGCGGGGCCACGGGGGCAATGGTCCCAGCTGAAAGCTGATTGGCAGTGATAAGGTTGTGTCCTGTGATGGACTGGCATCCCGTCCGGAGTGCCCCCTGCCTCGTGCCCTGCGATGGACTGGCATCCCGTCCGGAGTGCCCCCTGCCTCGTGCCCTGCGATGGACTGGCATCCCGTCCGGAGTGCCCCCTGCCTCGTGCCCTGCGATGGACTGGCATCCCGTCCGGAGTGCCCCCTGCCTCGTGCCCTGCGATGGACTGGCATCCCGTCCGGAGTGCCCCCTGCCTTGTGGCCTGTGCATCCCGAACAGGCAACCAGACTCACTGTGATCCTGTATTGGATGAGGATGCATACATAGATAGAAGTGTAAATGATGCACAAATTCCTACATCTTTTAAAAGTGTAAAAATCACTGTGGAGCACTGTGAAGCACAATGGCATATCCAAACCAATCACAGTTTCAAGTTGTAAGTAGCTGATCAGGTAAAGTCGGGAATTCTAATGACTGCTCATCACTGGCACAGTCATGGGTGGGACTACTAAGCAGCACAGGGAACAACACGGGGAGCACAGGGAACAACACGGGGAGCACACCGTGGGTGGGATTAAAGTCCATTACAGGGCACATATATGCAAACAGGCAAAACCTTACATCATGCTACAGGCAATTCTGTGATACCAACTGGCTTAACTGTGTTGTCAAAACGCAGAATATCCACTGGAAACTTGCACGACCCAGAGAGGACATACAAACTCCGTAGGCAGTAATTTCCAGCACAATCGACTGTTTGGTTCATTATATTTATATTAAGACTGGATTATAGAGGGAACTGCACTGACATTGCTAAGTGAATAATATGTAGAGCTGTTATACACGTGAAACTTTTCCAAATGAGGTGTCACTTGAGCCTGTTTTGAAAATATGATTCGCAAGTTAATACAGCAGTCACTTAATGGAAAACGCTGTACAATATTAAACTCAAAATATTAAACTCATAATGCTGGTGATCGTTATGTGTTTGTAAGGGATACAAACATAGTGATTTTAATTAGAAGATTTTTCAATTAAGTGGAGCAATAGGATTTCTCTCTGCGGTGATGTATAAACCCACTGGGCTGTATCTCTGAATCGTGAGCTTCCGCACCGTGTAGGACGGATAATCTCATCGGTACTCCTCATATCTGCATGTAGCCCAGGATGTGCGGGGGGAATCATTAAAAGTGCCTCCCTTCTGAGGCCCGAGTGCCCCCTCTCCATTCCTACTGATCAGCAAATTTAACCGATTGCCCGTTTTCTAGCGCGATCACCCCAAATTTACTGAGACGCCCCCTCCCCGCATCGACAAATTGTACCGGTCGGGCACCAGCCTCTCAGAAAATCTTTGCACGACCTGCCTCTCTTATATTTATATAAATCATCCGGGGAGGAGGCAGCAGTGTCATCTCCGGAATGAGATGATCTCCCACCCCAGGCTCCCCGTGTCCTGGTGGGGCTTCTTCTGGTCACCCTTCCCCCCCGTCCAAAAAGCTTTCTGAGGTTGGAGGTGCCAGTGTGCCCTGCTTCTACCCATAGGCTCCCCCCCCCGCCGCCGACTCTATATTAGACCAGTGGTTTCCGAGAATATATGCGTGGCATTTCACAGTGTACCCCAATTTAATGCAGCGCAGTATGAACATACCGAAGTCATCATTTACTCTGGATGTTTGCAGATTCTCAGCATGATGCGAAATGATGAATCCCGAGTACGAGTAAGACCAGCAAGCCGGTGATGTCTTGTGTAGGATCAGATAATAATTATAGTCCTACTGATTTCCAAGAATAAAGAGCATTTGGGGTCAGCACACTCCGTTCTTTGCAAATGCATTACCAGCCTTATTGCCACCGCATTTCCTGCCAGTTACTGCGCGACGTCCAGCAGAGATTGCGAGCAATTTGACGATGTATATACTTCCCACACGTTTACGTCTGAGCCGAACTGTTGTGGCCATTTATCAAAATCCTTATACTAAAATGTGAAAATTTCCCATAATCCCAGGGATCAACTGACAATCTCTGAATGAACAAAAGCACAGGAGGACACTAATCACATGCTTACTGAATAAAATTAAACATTAGCCTGCAAAGCACCATTTGTACATCTACAGCAGCACGCATATGAATGTAGTCGGAGAAGACACTGTTGAAAGTGCTATATACAGTACTGTAAAATACCTATTATCTGTCGGGGAAAGCTGATCTCACAGAGGCTGTAATTAAACCCTAATTTGTAAGCCTGTCAGAAGGTAAATTTGTGCTTTTGCTTAGACCTCAGCTCCTCGGCCGTGGCGGCGACCGTCCTTGCGCAGCATGATAACCATGAAATTAACTACCCATGTAGCTCCCATATTGTCTCATGTTGCCGCCCATAATACAATAATCCATTAAAAACCCTTAAAGGATTTACGACTGACGACATCGGGACGGCGATATATCAGCGCCTGCTTGCGCTTAAGATTAGTAATTTATTAATCGGCAGCGAAGGGTTTTGCTGTAGCCAAAGCTTAGATATGTGGGCTTAGGAGCCAGATGCTGTAAATCCCCGATAAGGTGTTATATAATCACTGGGTAAAAATGAGCAGTCTGCCGTCTAAACAGGTGTCCCTTAAAGACCGTGTGTTGTTATGAATTAAGGAGCGTGCAGATGGGAAATAGGTGTTTATTTAGGCTAAAATCCATCACACGCTTCATTTATGCACCGCAGGTTATTATCCGCGGAAGTTACTGCTCTGCCCTCCTACAGCAGGGCTGCATGGGCGCTATATGACCAAAAATGACATGAATTTTCATTCTCACAGTTTACGTCAATAAAAAAACGTCTACGAATGTTTTTAAAAACGTGCGTTTTTATTAATTATTATTAAAAATAGTTTACTTTTAGCTCCATCGACATGGTATATTAGATCATTATATGTATATTCCGCTATATAGCGGAATTGTTTTGTGATTTTAACTGTATATTTAGCTCCATAGAGACATATTTTATTGATTATATCCGTTAATTCATAAGCAACTAGCCTATATGACGGCCGGGCGGTGTGTTCAAATCCAGCTGTAAGCAGAGTGATTTCATTGTTAGGCCCTTCGACAGGCCCTTAACCTTAAATTTCTCCAGGGATGACCCTGTTTTCTTAGAAATGTATGTCGAATTGAATAAATTTGCAATAAATGGCAAAGTAAATATACGTTGTCAGCTTTTAGCTGCGTTTTTTTTTAAGTAGTCATCATTTCCTTAAAATGAATGTTATATATTAAGAATGACTAAGTACACATAATGTGTGTGTGCATATATATATATATATATATATATATATATATATATATATATACTTCGTATTTTAATATAGGCCTATATTTATCAGTGCAGTCGACGAGTTTGGTTTACCCGGAGGTCACTAGTGAATAACAGGAATAGCATTACAGAAGGTACATTTGCGTGCGTTTGCCTGCGTTCATTGTGAATTTGGCGTCGCCTTAAAACATTTAGGTTTCAGTGCAAGTGACCGATGTTTATTAATCACGCTAATAGTGTATTGAGCTACTCACTGATAAATTGTAATGACAATACCGAGCACCTTGGGTTTGATGGGATTTGGTAAACAGCCAGAATTAACCACCAAATAATTCCTAGAGCATAACCTAGGCTATAGCCACTATGCAATTCGGCGAATGACTGGGCCTACAGACAGGCAATACACAGCGTTATTTATGGGAAATCTGAGACATCGAAACAAGCCAGTTAGAGCAAATTACTTTGATAAATGCCTGCCCGCATTGATGGTGAATTAGAAGTGTATTGGGGGTGTTAATTCAGGTTACGCCGACATCCCTATTGACAGCCATCCTTTGGGAAACGCACTTTCAACACACTTGCATTTGATCCGGCCCCCAGCCCACTTGCTTGTGTCCAGAAGATTTCTTGGTTTACGAGAACCGACCGAACCTAATCGCCGCCAGAGTCTCTTCTGAGATATTTTCTCAATGTTAAGACAACTAGAAGAATAGATATGGCTTTAAAAGCGCAACAATTATGCTGCAGAAACAAATGTACCCGAAGAATATATTGTATATATGTATATATATGTATTTTATGCCTAAGATTAAAAAATCAGTAATTCCCGACAATTAAGCAGATGAATTATATATATTAATTGCATTCTTATTCTAATAAAGTTGCACAAATAAAGTGAACCAAGTTAAAGCAGTATTTTTCTGGTACAGGCTGGGAACCGTGTGTGCTGATTTTTAGTTCATTTGAGATTTATGTTACTTAATCTGGAATGAGCTGTTGATCCATGAAAAGAAAACTCGCTTTAACGATTAATGTAATGAATAAAGCGGCGTTAACTGTATAAATTATTAGTTGATGTCCTTCCCATAATGAAATAATTGAATGTTTCACAAATGATCGAATAATGGGAGCGTATCCCGTAAAGGGATGAAAATGGTGTAATGCATTCAATCAATACATTAATCACGTCTGTTTATTTACGACCTCAGCCGGATTGGAAACTTACTGGGATTTACCTCTTCTCGCTCTACAGCGACACCAGCTGTCGACTACGATAAGACCGTCATACGCATCTCGGTGCCCAGCATGAAGAGTCATTCTTCTGCTGTCTCTGGGTACATGTGGATATTGGCAGGTGTGGGAAAACCCTCCATGAAGAGCCAGTGACTGCATATTGTCAGAATACCTGGACCTGCAGGTGGATTTCGACCATACCAGAGCAACAGCTTTGCTGTAGCAATTAAGAGCTGAAGTAGAGTGCAAAATGAGCAGCCATGTAGCCGGTTGAGGACCACACATCCCTGCTGTGGCCGGAGATATATGATTTCTCAGTTATTTTTGAGGGAGTGAGGAAAGGTCATTTTTTCTTTGTGTTGTAAATGGGTTTTAAGAAATCAAGAGCTTGCTTTGCTCGAAGCTGCAGTCATTCTTGGGTAAAAAGGCACTTTTATTGCAGTGATATATTGGTGAAAAAAAACTACAGCAGCCTATATTTATATATATATATTTATAGATATTTACATACTATCTTGTATCAAACAGTGGGGTAGATGTTTACCTGTTGGTAGCAATTGTCGGGAAATTGAATTGCAAATTAGCAAGCAAATCTTTGAAGCAGACTAAATAGGTTTATTTTGTTTAGACATTTGTTTTAATGAGATAAATAACCTGGCTGATGTTTGAGCCTCTGTATAAACGCATTAACTTGGAGAACCTGTATGAGGCCATTCTGAACCCTGATGTTCTCCGTCTGTGAGAGACTGGATTAATAAAATAAACGTGTGCTGTAACATTACGTGAGAGTACAGGCTTCTATGTTGTAAATCTGTATTCCATTACTGGCGGCTGATTGTATTGACTGCGGCTCATCAGTACCCATAAAACAGCCAGAAAAATATCCCATTGAGATTAACGTACTCTGCAATGACAGGGCACTTATTGACGGAAAAGGATAATTAGACTTAGTAAGAGTCAGTCATATGGAAGACCGTGTCCACTTGGGTGTATCAGAGCAGTAGAAGCTAATAACTAATCCTGCCTGTAAAGATTTAATCAGCTATCGTCAACAAAATGCACCGTCTCTCTTCTCGGTGGGTTATGTGCAGACTGGGAGATATGCTTTTTCATGTGGTCACAAAGGATCTTTCTGTAATGAGCATCATTTATGAATGTACTCAGCAGTGCTCAGCCCCAGCAGGCTTTTAGGAAATGGCTTGTTGCACACCTGTCTCCAGTCGGGAGTGTGCTGGAAGGGTCAGACCTGTCCATGGAGGTGGGCTGCTGATCCCCCAATTGGGCGTCATAAAACAGGAATGGGCGGGTAGAAATATTCTAGCTGGAATGCTGGGAATTTTTTTGTTCCATGTGCCGAGCAACTGAGGTAGCGGTGCTCATTTGGTGTGGTTAGACACCAGAGTTTAAAACAATGAAACCATCTGGACCAGCGGTGGCCAATCTTATCCGCAGAGGGCCGGTGTGTGTGCAGGTTTTTGGGATAACCTGTAGGTCAGCTGTTGAAACCCAGGTGCGAGGACTCTACAGCCAATCAGTCCTCTAATTAGTGATCTAATTAGGCAGTAGCAGCGAAAACCTGCATAAACAGCAGCCGTTTCTGGATAAGGTTACCCAGCCCTGATCTAGAACATCTATGCCCACATGTCCTATGTGAGGTCATAGAGGTCGCTGCCGTTGGTAAACGTTAAAAAAAAAAAAAACACAGACACACACACACACACTTACCACTCACACCTAAGGACAATTTAGCAGCAATTCATCTTAAATGTTTTTGGACCGGGGGGCGGATGTTGGAGAACCCAAAGAACCTGAGTAGACACTTGAACCCTGTTCCCCAGAGGTATCAGTGTTATCCACTGTACCCCACCCCCCACATCAAAACTGTGTCTCTTGCATAATCCCGGAGACTTCTGCTGTGGGGAATGGTACGGTAGTTTTTAAAGGTCGTTATCCGGTCCTACACATTTGAGATACGACAGCTAAGTCTGGACGAACTCCACACCGTCCAATCTGCTACCCCACGCTCATTAAAGTTGGTTCATAATCGACTGCTAAGATGTATGTGCTGCTGCTGTGGCTGCATGCCCAGAGATGAGGAGATCAGAGCCTTCCTGTGTCACCGCTACAGAAGGACCAGCAGAGGCAGCAAAGCCCTGAGACGACTCCCCTACGTCAGAAAAACCACTGACGGGCACACTACATTACCTGGAGAATTAAGGCTTCTAGAAAGATCTGCACGGTTTAGCTTTCAATACCGTCCATATATAGACAGCGAAAATCAGTCCGTCTGCCCTGCATTTTATGTATATCCAACACTATTTGGAAATCTAATTTCTATTTTAATTATTTATTTTGGAATATATCACATTTCCTTGTAGACAAATATATAGTCATGTAAATTCTGCACACGATACATTGACAGATGCTTTTTATAGCGTACAACAGGTGTGGGATCTTAACTGTCGATCTCAGAGCCAGAAGTGTGATTTCAGTAGGGCAGCCCTGATACGCCCTATTGTTTCACACAGCGGCACTAGACACCCTATGCGACGCGAAACCCCCCGGGCCTGAATAATGAGCGTTTTCACTGAGAAAAGAAAATAATTCACTGAGATTCACCCGCAAACATATGACGCCGGCCAGAAATTCAACATCATAAATTTTCAGCGCGTTATGGATATTGCCGGGAGTTAAATCGTTATTATTATTGATGGGGTCCCGCTTCCTTTCTCAGTAATTAAGATGCTGTAACACCGTAGAAAGCAGGGAATGTGGCTGCGGCGTCCTGCGTTTGCAGCGAGTTTTTAATAATAATCTTTGGCGCCTCACAGTCAGGCTGTCGATCCAGACACCGGTTATGCTCGCCGCTACGTTGACTTCCTTCGGTATTCTCGAGGGTCAAATTGCTCAATAAACTTTACTAGGTAGGTATTTACGGTGAAGTATACAACATATAGGCCAGGGTTATTCAACTCACGGTCCTCGAGGTCCGAGCACTGCTGGTTTTCCAGCCTTCCTTTACCTGTCAGTCAGGTGTGAAGCCTCTGACCAATCAGAATCAGTAATTATTAAACAACTACCTGGGGGAATTGAAAACACGGCCTGGATTTGGAATCGAGGTCCAGAGTTGAAGAACCCTGATATAGGCCAAAAAACTACACAAAGCTACTTTGTAGCTGTAATCCTGTGATCTGCATCGAATCATTCCGTGTTATAATCAATAAAAATCCCAACCACGGTCCTTGTTTGAAACAAACCTAAACTGAATAATGTTTATTTTATTATTTGTTACAGCTGTACGCGGACCAACGTGTGTTTGCCATATTTTAATTGTGTTAATGCATTAGGTTGCACCTGTTGATTTTAGGCATTTTTTTCCAACCTATTAAACGATTGAATACAAAAATATGCATAATTCTTAAGCATAAACGGATTTATTTTTTAATGACAAGTCAGCAATACATTTAACAGTCGCATGTAGTAATTGTATGCTAATGGTGTTTGCAAATTTGCTTTTGACTCTGGATGCATGGAAACAGGGCTTGCAGGAGTGCGGGAGAGTCACTGCGAATGCGTGAGACTCGGCGGGTCTGGCTGTAATTATCGGGTCTGGACAAAACAGGCGACACGAGGAAGGGAGAAATAACGGGTATTTTATTGTTTGACTCCCTTTTCGAGGTTAGCGAGCCTGGGCAAGACAGGACACAAGAAACAAGAGAAGTTATTATGATGTAATGATGTGAGAATAATAATAGATGTCGGGAGGATGTAGGTACTAGGGGTGTGGGTAGGGCAGGAACACCCTCATCTCACACACATTATTAAAAATAAGAACGTTCATAGAAAGTTATAAACCTTAAAAATGCGTCTGCGTAAATTGGGCACTGAGCATGCGCAGAACACGCAGACGCAGAATAACTAGGCAGCAATATTCAGCGTGACACCCGCGTCGTAGGAGGACAGCGACAGTGACAATAACGTCTCAGTCGTATTCGGTTTAATGGCATTTATCCTGAGTTATGATTTTTAGATCTATATTGTATATGTTCCTCATATTGACCGGCTCTTTGCATGATCATTTTCCTGCCAGTCAGCCTTACCCCTATGACGGAGGGACACACACCATCACCCAGGTGTTTCCAGTACGTGAGGGGGAGGGGGGGCAATTACCTTTGAAGTGTGAAGGAACGTCCCTGCCACAAGCCTCCTCTGGTCCACGATGACCGCACACAACAAGCCAGCTGGTCAGTCAGATAAAACACTCTTCTGTTTGCTTCCCTTTCCAAGGTTTCGCCTACGCTACTGGGATCTGGATCTGATTTTCTCTGGCAGCTCCGTGCTGATAAATAATCCTAGCGCAGGCTCACATCGCGGGCCGACTCCCCTCGCATTTGTCCCTGACAGCTGTGCCCGGCTTCCCACATTAACTTAGCTCCCAGTCTCGCCTGAAATCCGAGTCGGACGTCCGAAAGTGCTCGCCGATTTATAAGGGGGGGGATTACAAATATTGTCATGCTAGAAATGGAGCTTTCACTTAGCCAGTCACTCAGGCGAATTTTTTGTCTTTCTCGTATTTCAGAAAGTGTCTGCCCCGTCCAATATATCCATCCCAAATCTGTAGGACGTTAACCTTGCTTTCAAACCTGCAACAGAAGTTCATCTCCCCTAGAAATCAGACAAAGATTTTCACCTCTTGTAGAAGCGAGGTTATTATGCATGGCTATAATTAACCTGCGCATTCATTTAAAGCCGGGATCGTGCATCTGCGTTTATCTTGGTGCACTTTGGAAACATGCGTCCCCAAACAGACTGACAACTGAACAAACTCGGGGTGGGCCCTTCTAAGGCTGTCGGACGGGGGCCGTTTGTCTGCAGCAGCCAGGCTGGGAGCTAGTAAAGCTATTTTGAAAGTGACCCCCTCAGTAGGGAACGGGGCAGAGAGCAGAGAGCAGCTGTCCGGAATCATGACTGAAGATGACGGATACTGTTGTCGTGGAGGGACAAGCCAAGTACAGAGATGGAAAAAAGGTTGTTTAAATGCGTTAATTTCTGCTCTTTTGCACCTTGCAAGACTCTCATAGTTCGATTCTCGGTGCTGTCAGATGGTGTGAATGAGCAGTTGTAACTTTATTTTTTATTTTTGATATTTTTTTTCCTCGCAGTGGAAAAGTAGGTGGGTGGCTCTCCGGAAACCTTCTCCAGTAGCAGGTTGGTTGCTAATACTACTTTACAATATGTTTTGGTAAGATTACAAGAATAAAATAAACAATTTATTATTTGGATTGTTAAAGAAATAGATGTGAGCGTTAGTTTTTATGTCCGTCGTGCTGTTTTTAAGTGAAAGTACATAATTCGGATTGTTCGGCTTAGTTTCGGTATTGAAAAGCACAGGGACGGAGAAAAACAGCGAGAACTACAGTCTAAGTAATCGGATAGTATTATATTCGATTCATCTTGATATTTGGACATGCTGCGCTGGCGTGGTTTGAAAATAATTCCGATTTGGCACCGGGTGCCGGCCACAGTCTTAAATTTCATCTTGCTCATTCAGAATTTTACCCATGCAAAGGCGTGTGTTTTATATTTTAAAACGAACCGAATTCAGCTTAATATATCCGTAGTTTTATTATCAAACCGGGGCCGTAATAAAAGCAGACTCTCAAACAGCCTCGTTTGACTCCGTGCACATTAATTGCGGCCGGTTTTGTTTGATGCGTTTTTGAAGTTGTGATTTGTAGCTTGAAAGGGCAGTTTAAAGGTCTGCTCCCAGATCAGCGAGTCTTGGGGCAGAAATGAGCTTCGGTGGGATATCAGGGACGCCCAACCCGGCCCCTGTGGCCTTTAGACACACCTTCCCTGCGCCAGCGATCCGTAGGACATAACGGGTTTCATTAAAACCGGATTCAAGCGGCATAAAACACGCATCAGCCGCCCCGGGAAAACCATATATGCGCATCTGTCCTACTTTGGCTGCCTTTAGAAAATATGGGATCGGGGACCTTTCTGAGACATAATTGCATATAATGCTCCTGGAAGGTGTGTATATTGCGCGCTTTTGTCTTCTTTCTCCCTAAAAGCATAGGGGATGAGTGGGAGAGGGGCCTCGCTCTTTGAAGTGGGCTAAGCCGCAGGACAGGTCCCGCTTGAGGTTTTAATGAGGAGCTGCGCCCCCGGACCATTCCGTCCTTTTGAAGTAGCCGGATCCCCTCGATAACCCCGCTGTCTGGCTGGCCGCCGCCACAACTGACAAAGCGAGGCTGCGCACGGTTCGTCTGCGTGCCTTTGAACGCGCGTTAAGGTGCCCTGAGCATCTGGCGCACCTCAGAGCCGTCCTTCATAGGAGGCCTATCCTCCAAGCGCTCCTCTGGCTTATTCTGTGCATAAAGCAACATAATTAGTCACTAGGGTAACTAATTACTGGTTGCAATGTTTTGGCAGGTCTTGAGATCATACATCAAAAAATGAGGTCCAGTGGTTAGCACTGTTGGGACACTGGGATGTTGGTGCAGTGGTTAGCACTGTTGGGACACTGGGATGTTGGTGCAGTGGTTAGAACTGTTGGGATACTGGGATGCTGGTGCAGTG